ACAGACCCCACGTCAGAGCCAGGGCGAGTCATGCAGCTTTGGACGACACACACCAAAACACACGTTCACAGCGAGACATGCATCTACGTTCTGCAACGTCATGATTTTTAGGCATTTCCAAAGCGGTTTGTACAGCCTGTACAATGGGTATGAGCTCAGTTTGTTTACTTGTTGTGCGGTGTGCTCCTTAATTTAATCACGTAGGCTAAATCCTTTACCAACAACTCTGGCATTGTAAAAACAACAAAGATTAAAATCCTTGCAACGGACAGAGTCATGTCAAAACAAGAGATAGGAAAAGGCACAGAGAACTATCCAACAGTCCTTATCAACAGAGCAAATTCAAAAATAATTTTAATTTCATCATATTTCCTGAAAGTTAGCAATTCACTGTCAAAGGCCAGATTTCTTCCACCATTCTGTAAATATTCAATTAGTGAGCTTTACAAAGTCTGAGTTAGTGGCTGAGGTTCTTGCCCCCTGGTCTGTATCCATTTTTAGACGACCCCTGCTCTCATCCAACCCAGTCTCACGGTATTTCGTGTTATAGTCACGACATTTAATCTATTGATTCGTGTTCACCAACACGATTTTCCCCTTTTTTTTTCGTGTCACACAGAACGATTTTAAAAGCAATGTATTTCTATTGGTAGTGTGTTTCGTGCCTGCAACACGTCTTTTTGTCCGGTCGGGTCTTGGAAGACCGGAAGCTGTGTGGTTCATAAAAACATGTTCTTACTCAATATCAAGCCACGATTATTGTTTTTAATTTTAAAACGTATAATGTCGGACTTTCTTGCCGTCCGTGAGGAAAATAAATGGGGCTCAGCCTCAGAATACTGAAATCTGTATTTTTTAAATCTTTTTTTCCTTCTAATTTGTTATTCTTTTCTAAATAACACACTGTTATTTACTCAACAATAACACACAATTATCCTTGTTTTTATTTATTTGTTTAATTCTATAATCTCTGGCTTTTTTGGCGTCCGTCAGGAACTGAATTTCAAAATAAAATAACCGGAAATAGATACACACCCACTGAACTGATTACCCAAGATCCTCAGCTATGGTTTAAGCTCGGTGATTGGATTGTTTAGCCGCAATGCACGTTGGGATATGGTGTTTATGCTATATGAAATCCGAAAAACATTTTTAAAAAAAGAAGAAAATAATACTTTATTCCGAGTGTGCTTGCTTTTCTCTTTGGAAGTCATCACATAACGGCATTGTAATACACGGTTTGGCTGCATTAAATATTACACATCTGCAGTAGTTCTTTATTTATAGAGCCCTGATTAGAAGACCTTTGGACAAACTGGAAGAACTGCCACCGAAACTGAATATGTGACGTGGATCATAAATATATCAGCAATTAAACCACATCTTCAATTTCTCTTCACACAATACGTCTCCTTGCAGTATCAACATTAATTCGGCTGACTTTTATATTTGATCCAATTAGTAGATAGGCTGTATTTACACCATAACGGTGCACAGCTGATAGAAAAGGACTTGTAGTTTTTAAAGATATTACTGATTTTCTTTGAATATAAGAATGTAAATACTGAGTTGAGAGAATAGTCAGGGGGTTTTGGGTGATGGTAGACACATCTATGGAATCACAATTTCAATAGCTTACCATTAAATGACGGATATATTTCTGTCTGTGATGTTTTACAAATCAGATATTAATGTGTAGAAGTAAAACATGTGAAATAATATAGCAATATCCTGTAAAATTATGTGAAAACATGAATAAAACTACACATCTTCAGAAGCTATGCATACATAAGTGTCCTACACTAATAATAAAATGCTATTATGGCTCTGTGTACCTTGTGTGCACCGCCTAGTGGTTAAAGCACGTTATTGAATTATTTTTTTAATGTTACATTTGATGAAAAAAATATTAAGAGTACATACAAAATAGGGGGAAAGTAGAAGGTCAATGATAGAAATATAGAATATAAAAAATCAAGAAGATACTGTAAGTGATCTCTACAATAAAACAGTTTAGTGCCGGATGTACAAAGATATTAATAGGAGGATGTGCAAAACAGAAAAACTAATTAACCTTTATTTAAACATTAAAGAATACTTTAGGTTAAGGTCTTCATTTAAATAATAAAAAAGCTTTGGGGGTATCTACAGATAAATATTAAGCCTGACAGAGTACTTAACGTCTAATATATTGCTTTCCTGCAATGTTAACTATGTTGAAGCACTTATTTTAACTGAAGGGCCCATGTCATGCTTTTCTGGTTATTAGACGGCCCCTTGTGTGTTATGAAGGTTTTTATGCATGTAAACGGTCTGCAGAGTCAAAAACCCTCAAAGTACACCCTGTAGCGAGTAAAACTCTAACACATTCTATGCTGCCCCAAAACGCCTCGTTGGAGATTTCTCATTTTCCATTGTTTACTTCCTGGGTACTGTGACGTGTGAATACCCAGAGGCCACACCCTCTGCCAGCATTTCACGAAACAAAGCTTCACAAACCTTTCAGCGATTCATGCTGGATATGTACAGCGTAGGGCACTGAAGAACGATGCTGTTCCTTTGTTTGGACCAGCGGGAGATTCGGGTACACAACCTGTAAGTATTCATTGTTGTTTGTGTATTTATGATGTTTAAAACAAACAAGGTATCTACCACGACTGTTTAAATGGGTAAACGTTTTTCGGGCTGCTAAATTGGGATCGCGGAGAAATGCTCTCTGCAGACCCATTCTCACAGCGTTATAAACCTTTTTCTTACTCAATAACAAGCCACACTTATTGTTTTTACTTCGGCTGTGAGTGTTTGTGTGTGCTCAGGATTAGTTTCGCTTGTTCTCGCTGTATCGCCGACCCGGAAGCCTGTCCGCTCCTCGCAGCAGATCGCAGCAACGAGCCTCGCAACTTCCCGACCAATCAGAGCACACTGGGCTCACAGGGAGGGGGGGGGGGGGGCGGGGGGGGGGCAGGAGCTCCAACAAGCCGTTTAGGACAGAGAGTGAATACCGGTGAATACACATACTTTACAGAGATGCTGTATGAGAAACCAATGTGAGTTTGGAAAATTGTACAGTATAAATCTATTTTAGTATACCTCAACAATGGAATTATGATCAGTAGAAATGGCCATGACATGGGCCCTTTAACTGATATTATACATATGAATTATACTCTTATGTAGATAGTATAAGAAATGTGCAGAATATGACAGTTTAATGGTGGAGGTATACACACATATTGATAGATGTCTTGTTGAGGAACCTGTGACCCAAGTTGTTCATTCATTGCATAACTTCAACGTAGTTGTGTATATGATATGTCAATAAACCTTTGGGGGGTCTGGTCCCGTTCGAGTCCAGTTTTGGATAGTCTGCCGTGGTTTCGTTCCATTTCAAAGTGCTGTTTGACGCTCGGCGTAACCTTGGCGCACTGCCACTCCAACATCCAATCCCAGAGCTTGAAGATGAATCACGGGGACTGTAGTCCCAAACGATATCTGAGGATTATGGGTAGTGTAGTGTCTTCGGCCATCCTAAACTCCGAAATGTTTTTCGGATTTCATATCGAAATGTCCCATATAGGCCTACGTCTGTTTCCGGTTATTTTATTTTTAAATTCAGTTCTTGACGGACGCCAAAAAAGCCCAAGATTATAGAATTAAACAAATAAATAAAAACAAGGATAATTGTGTGTTATTGTTGAGTAAATAACAGTGTGTTATTTAGAAAAGAATAACAAATTAGAAGGAAAAAAAGATTAAAAAAATACAGATTTCAGTATTCTGAGGCTCTGAGCTCCATTTCTTTTCCTCACGGACGGCAAAAAAAGTCCGACATTATACGATTTAAAATAAAAACAATAATCGTGGCTTGATAATGAGTAAGAACATGTTTTTATGAACCACACAGCTTCCGGTCTTCCAAGACCCGACCGGACAAAAAGACGTGGTGCAGGCACGAAACACACTACCAATAGAAATACATTGCTTTTAAAATCGTTCTGTGTGAAACGAAAAAATGGGGAAAATCGTGTTGGTGAACACGAATCAATAGATTAAATGTTGTGACTATAACACGAAATGCCGTGAGACTGGGTTGTCTCATCGTACATGAGAGGTCAGTCATTGACTTTCTGAAACATCTCACTGCACTTGTCATTAGTGAGCTGCTGCCAAATACTTTTTTAAGGAAGATTTCCAGAAGTTTCCAGAACTGCTGCTTGAGCTACAACACATATTGTTTGACTGTATGGGAAATCAGTGCATATGCAGCAGCAAATAAGAGGTAGCAGATGTGTTACATTATCATCATGTTCTAACAATATACACATTGTTTTATGATTGCATAAGTTATATTTATCCCACCTTTAACCTAACATTTTTGACTGAATTGGCCATGGGTTGCACAATCCTTTTAAATAAAATCTACTTATTGGCTTTATGGCTGAAAGTTAGATGAAAAAGTGCAAGCTAGCAGACAGTTACTGTAGCTTTAAGGCTTTAACAAGGTATTCACAACATGCCCATTAGTCAGTCTCCCTACAGTTACCTATAAAGAAACCTTTTTTGAGAAGCCGCTTACTTACATTCACTTTGTCTGACCTGTAAAGCTACAGTAGGAATGTAAACATGAAAACAACACCATTTTTAATTAGTAGGTTGTTGTTCTTCATAAAGATAATGTTGAAAAGTATTTCAGACATACAGAATTACAAAAGACAGATCTAAAATGATGTTATTTGAGCATTAAATAATGTAAACAACCCTTTTTCAATGCTAAATCTGCTATTTTATCCTGGTTTTGTTTGTTATGTTAAACTAAGCTTGAACATACTTCCCAATATGTCAACAAAAAACGTCATGTCTATCTTCATCTTTATCCTATTCAACCTTAATTCTGCTTTGGCATTGTAATTTACCAGACAGAGCAAAGACATCACACTTTTAATAAGTATTTCTATGACCCACATTCTTAACAAGATAGTTTACACATTTCAGAGCATGAATCTGATCTGAATCTTTATTTATCTTCAATGTATGTTGGTACACAAAAGGAAAAACACTATGCCCTTACAAGCTAGTTCACTTTCATAGAAAAAACTGGGGAAACTGAAGCAGATACTGGATATTTTTTTGGTTTTTCGTTCACATTTTCCCTTTTGCGAACAGGTTTTCCATCAAAGCTGTCTGCATCTGCTAGCTGTCAGCCATCCATGTTGTTCATTAGCGAGCCACTCCACTCAGTTTCCCATGGTTCTTTGTTTGTGTGTCATGTATGAACTATGACCTGTGAGCTGATACTGTCGGACTAAATGATCTGAATGTCAGCAATGCATTGTATCAGCTTCTTTTTCAAATAATAGAAAGGAAAGTTGACAGGACAAGATGCTATGATTGATAATGTGGAAAAAATAACTGAAAAACAACATTAGCGTGGCATTTGACCCACAATATTAACATTTACCTTGATGTTAGATAATGACATTTCTAGGGTGATTTCCTTTAAAGAAACAGTAGGGATCAGGGTTTAGTTCACAGTTAAGGAGACTGTTCATGTTGGATATGTTAAATATTTATTGTTTTAAGAAACTGTTACCATTTCTCTTCCCAACAGAATTCAACCTTTTTCTGCAAAGGCATTGACACGGATAAAATAACCTCTTAACATTAAGTAACTTACAAATGTACATACAAAGTTATCTACTCTGTTGTAAAAATAATAATAAATTAGAACAATAAATAGTGTTATTTGACACAAGCAGCAGAGGTATCGAAAGTCTTTTAAACAAAGTATTTCTGTGACTGCATTTCCTTCGGGTTGTATCCATTACGGTCACATAATTAGGTGCCCCCAAGTCCACTCTTGAGTTTCGCCGGCAGATAATAACTGTCCAAATAAGGCAATTTACCATAAAAGTGATGGAAGGGTCAAATGATGAGTTGGAGATATGTTGGCGGCACATTGCTATATTACAGAGTTGCAGTTCAGATTGTTTGTTGCCCAGGAATGTGAACAACCCCTGCCCCTATGTCCTGTCCGACTCCCCCATCCCACCATCTTAAAAGTTGCCCAGAATGCCGTTCAGTTCTCCAAATTGAGTGTTGTTTCTCAACCCCCCACACCTTGCTATCGCTGTAGCTCGGGGGAGTGGAAAAGAGGCATGTGAAGTGGGAAACAGCATTGGGGTAGATAACCCTGCCACTAGGAGCCCTTGCACAGCGCCTACGTATCAGGAGGCTGCAGGAGGCAGGAGGTCGGACCGCAGAGTTCATGTCTTGTCAGGTTGCCTCAGGGGGGGTCATTCCACTGCGCCAGGACACATGAAGTGCTGATTAGTGTTTGCATCGAGTGGGGAGGCCAGAGATAAGTGGAGAGGAAGACAGATGTCAGTGGAAAAGAGAGGGAGGGGGATGAATGGCCCGCTGGTTCCCACCAGGCCGCCTGACTGTAGGCTGTGAAATCTTGTGCATTTCCTTTCTATGACGACGCACCTTGGCATCCCTACCGGCAACATGTTGACTGTTGATCCGCAGCAGACTGTCTTCATTCTGTCTGTTTCTGTTAAGCTGTTTAAAACAAACATTTTCCACAATCATTAATTTAAGAGCGCACATAGTTTCATAAATAGTGAATGAACGATTCCAGTCTCATTAAGTAACTCGTGCAGAGATTCTTGCCAGACATTTTTGGCTAACCTCTCTTTTCAGTTTATTGTTGTGTCTTTCCTCTTATTGTAAGACTTTACGATGAGTAAAACTCCCTCAAACCATGGACTATCTGCAGCCACACTCAGCCACCGCCATGCCCTCAAACTTGTACTTGTAGGTGACTATGCCTGTGTCGTCCAAGTACAACAGGGAGATGGGGTCCAGCTTGGTGGGCACACAACAAGCCCTTGCAGCCTTCTGAGGGCTGTTGATGTTGATCAGAGTCTGGACTATGGCATGCTTTGTGGGCGTGACATGCTTTGTCAGTGGGAATGAACAAACGCCAGTGCACTCAAAGGCATCGTAACCAGTCGGGGCGAGGATCCAACTGTCCCATCCAATGTCCTTGAACTCTACGTACAGAGATTGTTTCTTGCAGTGGTTTCCCTTGGCATTGCGACGAATGCGAGATGCCGTGTCGTAGATCAGATTGGAGCGCATTTGGATTAGGTCCTCTTCATCTGGCTCTGATTCTTCATCCCCCTCATCCTTCCCCAGCTCCCCCCACAGATCGTTCAGGCCCAAGTCATTTTGAAGAACCATGTTTGAGGTTTCGTGGTCGATCATCTCGTTCAGCTCGCGTTTGTCATCCCGGTGATCGGTACTTTGGTCATCAGAGAAAACAATCAGCAAAGGTTTGTGTTTCTCCTCAGGGCTGGTGTCGATCTTCATATCCCCTTCAAATCCGTCTTTGTTGTCCTCTGTCATGCTTTGAACATTTTCCTCATTAGCCATGCTTACAATGTGCACCTCCAACCGATGCGTGGTGCCATAGTCCAAATTACGCCAACGTTGAACAGCAGCAGTGAGGTCAAAGGCCTCCCAGCCGTTATCGGTGCCGTAGACCTGCCGTGAAGCCAACTCCACCAGCTCTATCCGTTCTTCGTCCTCTTTCAATACATCTCCTCTCAAAGTATTGTTATCAGTCATGTTGTCATCCACGATATGCGAATCCAGCTCATATATCGTCACCTTTCGGTCGACACCAGCATAGAGGTGGCGGTCAGTCTGGACAAGTGTGTAGAGGCGAAGCTCTGCCGCTGTGATGCGTTCATGATGGGGAACTGACACATTAAAGAGTAGTGGGTGACGCCTCACTCCTCCAACACCCACACCACTAGGAGATGAATCTAGGGAAGATAAATACATTGTCAAAGTTGAGCTTTGGTTTATTTTGTTTCTTTAATAAGGTTTTCAGCTTTGCAAAAATGTCCTAACCTAATTTCATCCTCAATTTCATCCGCATTTGGAAAAGATTAAACAATGATATTTATGTAATTGGAAGTAGTTCCATTTCAGAGTAATACTTTTGACATGTTTTGACATACTTATCAGTGCAAGGACATTGCTTTGCACTGAGAACTAATAAGGAACAGGGTCATGACTAAGGCTTGGAATTTAAAACAAAATGTTAGTTCGTACAAGCTTGAAGCTTCAATCTATTAAAAACTTAACATACACAAGAAGACCCTTTTTCTAAGTATCTTACTATGTGTGATGGGGAAAATAAATAATACATGGCAGCAACGAAGAAGTAAAAGGTGGCTCTTAAATTGACTCAATCTATTTGATCAACAGGGGCATTATCAAATGGAGCACTGGATCTTTACCTTCATTTTTGAAGCTGCGGATAATGTTGGCAGTGGGCATGGCAGTGCGGTCATTAGCGAAACGGTTGTAGAGTTCCATCATGTACTCAGGTGGCTCTTCCCTTGTGCTTCCAGGAGGCAGGGGCTGAGGATCCAAGCCAGACAGATTAAAAGTCCGCAGAAACTGTTCCTTCAGGCTCTGCAACAGGCTCTGCATGCTTATGTTGTTGTCCTGCTCCATCAGTGATGTATCCACCACCCCTCCATGCCCGTCTGCCCGATGCCTCTGATTGGTGTTGGAGATAGGGCTGCTCAGTCCACAGAGCCCCTGGAGCAGCAGGATGGAAAACAGCACCAGCAAAGTCTTGGAGCTGCAGATCGTTCCCAGTTGAGAGACCCAAATGCTCGCCATGGGAAAATCTGCAAGTTTCTATTTTATGCCCTTTGGGGTTAGATAAACTGAGGCACCAGTAAAACAAAAATAATTGTGTTTTCTGAACGCCTTAATCCAAATGTTAATCGAAATTGTGGTCAGTTCATCTATAGGCAAAGAAAGGTCTAGATCCCTGTCAGTAGACGTTAGTGGTGTTGACCCTCGCACTGACTGCTCTCTTCCAGATCTCACAGCATTTATTTCATGCACACCTTTTGATGTCCTTTGCAAAAGGGTTGCAGTTCCGGTGACAGGGTGGCCAGGGCTTGGCTTTGTCCGTCCGAGTCATCTCTGTTGTGTCTTCTCCTGTCTCGGTCTCTCTGTGCTCTGCTCTGTTCTTCCCAGCTCTTTCTTTTTGTCCCTTATCTATGATATGGTGGGCTCTGCATTGCTCAGTGCTTATGGTCTCTTTTGCTGGTGTGTGTGTGTGTGTGTGTGCGTGCATGTGCGTGCCTTTAACTTTGTGTGAGGCACATGAGCGTGTGTTATCTCACAACTTCCTTAATGAGGATTTTGTAAACACTGTCCTGTAGCCTCTTCCTTGTGGAAGCGCTATTTTGTTTGGGTGGGTGCTCCAGGGTTGATATTCCTCATTTGTTTATTTGCTTTGTAAATGGTGGAGTTCTGCAAGCTTGACCATTTCTTTATGACAAAATACATCTAGGCTCTGTTGATATCGTTGAATGTAACAGGATGTATCTATTAAACGATATTCGTCCACATTGAAATGGAAATGCAATGAGGTGTGAGGCCTTAATGATAAAGGAGGAATGATACAGAACTGACTGTGTCACAACACAGTAGTACAAAAAAAGCATTCTTGTTCCCTAATGCTTGCTGAAATGTTTTGTGTTTACTTCCTAATTTGGTAAATTGACTGTGTCTGGGCACAAGAAGTTCTACTTAAAAAATGCAGAAGCTAGAACGTACAATGCAATCGGTTACCCACAGAAATGCATAATCATAGTTGTTTTAATGTACCTATAAGGCACAACAAGGGCTGGCCCCACTTTACATTTCTGAATTGTTATGTTCCCTCGCTGAGATCATTTAAGTTTATTGACCTATAGACCAAAATGTTGGCTTAAAACTTAAAAAACACTACTGTAAGGTATATGTCATTTAACACTCTGTTTTATCTTATGACATTTGTTATATATTGTAATTATTCCTGCATTTATTATTGCAATATTATGTTCCTGCAGTAAATCAATCTCGCCCTTTTTTATTTATTTTTATGTATTGGGTATACTGTGTCTAGCATTGTTGGAGGTGCCTGAGATTTACGACAATAAAGCCTTTAAATCTGGAAGTAAATGTGACTGTTGCAGCTGTGGCTTTCACCCTTAAATCCATCTTTTCCTAGTTGTAAAAAACACTGTCAGTCAGTAGTTTTAAGAAGCAAACCCACCTGTTTCCTATGCACTTTGTCCTATAATGTTGCATTCAGTGAAGATTTAACAGGTTTTTTTATTGCTATTTCCTGTTTTACTTTCTCTTTTTTTGTTAACGTTTGCATTGTTCACCACCTAGTGACAATGGTTCCCAAAGCCACTTTGTAAATACACGGTACTCACTTTCACTGCTACCAACATGGAGTCAAGGGGCTGGTAGATGTTTTCTGATCAGATTAATAACAACTCTTCAAATAACTCTACTCATCGTCACCTGAACCCTCATCCCACTACACAACTGTCCTTCATTCCTGAGCTTCTTTGCGTGACCTGCAGATACACTCCTGATTGTGGTGCGTCACAGAGATGGGAAGGAATGAGCTTTTCCTGCCGCTGCCACCCATCTGCCAGGCTGACAATTGACAGACGTGCTGTTATCTTTCACTCTGTTAAACACATCTTCCTGATGACCGTAAGAAGGCTGGATAATGGAAATGTTCTTTTGCTCAAACACACAAGCACACACACATTCACGCAGACAGTCCCATCCATATGGTCTGTATTATGGTCCTAAGGGTGTAAGAAATGTGGATTTATACAGGAAAGAGCTGCTATTTTAGGATTGATCCTCCCCACATACAGTATTATGTGCTGATATTAAATATCTAAATGTTATGGTTTTCATCTGTATTTCCCCCACAATGGTATGTTTTTTTAGGATGGAAAATGTATGAAAAACTAACAGATGGTAGGGGAGAATTTCTATATTCAATTTCCTGTCCTTATCATGTGGGTTTCGCCACACCCCCATCTCTTTAGGAGACTGTAGAGCAGTGACCATCAACTGGTGGACCGCGGGCCACATCCGGCCGGCCAGACATTCTGATCCGGCTCGCACGGCGGGGGTGACTGTGGCGTTGGCGAAGTGGTTAGTGCGTTCGCCCCCCACACATTTTTTTTTTACAACGTCTCGTGAGTAATGTGCAGTACCGGAGTAACAGAGAGGCAGCAGCTGCGGGACAGTAGCCTGCGTACTGCGTAGCCTTCCCTGCCCTGAAGAAGAAGTGATCCTAACGCCCTAGCTATTTAATCTCTATAATGATAAATAGGCTTGTAAGCTCTCAAATAGCAAATTAAATATAAATACCTTAGAGCGCTCCCACTTTAGAGACAGGAGTTGTAGCCTAAACCATTGTGTACCATTGGCGTTACTTGTTATGCAATATGTTATATGTTTAGTTTCAGAGTATCTTTGTTGCTATGTTAGCAAATGTTAGCATGCCAACACACTGAACTAAAATGGATAACACCTAAAAATACCTGATGTTAAATATCAGCATGTCAGCATGATAAGTGTGAGTAATAGGTGTTAGCTTGTTAGCAGGCTGATGCTAACATTTAGCTTCAAGCCGCATGGATGTACGTCAGTTATGATGTATCACCTGCTAGCGGTTTCTACAATCACGCACAATGTCTTCATCAGTATGACAGGACATTGTTTCATTGTTTTTATTTTTCTTCCATTATTTCTGCTTTTTGCTTCATATGAATGCTATTCAGTCTTATTTGCATCTTAGCAATAATGTACAAATACTAAATGTTTTGTTTTCATGCATCAAGAAAAACATGTAAATGTGTGTTTTATTAATTTACCACTGAAACAAAATGGACTTCACTTATAGGATACACGCTGTTCACCATTCAAATATATATATATATCCGCCCACTTGACCTTTAATCAAAGTGTTCAGTCTATGCCAGCCTTTCATTTTCGAGGACAGCAGTAGCAGTAGTCTTTCTTTGTAAATAGTAATATTCAGATATAAACTTTCCTCACAGACACAAACGAATGAGCCAATCATTTATCTTCTACTAAACCGAGCTCAAATGGAAACAATCCAGTGGAGGAAAATAGCATTTCCCATAACCATTTCATGCAAAATTAGCTCTGTTGAAGTTTGCAGAGTCATAAATCTATATTTTAGTGAGTAAAGTAACCGTTAGGTGGGATCTTGTGGCTTTTTGGGGAGGAACTGCTGAGTGTCTCTTTGGAGCTCCTTGTTGCGTCTCTGGGCCTCGTCTCGGCTTCGCTCAGCATTTCTCAGGCAGATCTCCAGGGCAGCCACTTTGCTGCGATCGGCCTCCAGGCCGGACTGGAGCTCTGCCACCGTGGCCTTCAGCTCCTTGTTCTCCTGCTGCAGACTGCAAGAGACGGTGAGAGACACATGAGGCTCACACATACATCTATTCTGGAAACAGCCCAGTCTCTGTGATTGCAAAAACAAACAAATCCAAGAATATTGAGTAAAAGTCCCTGATTGAATTCCCCTATTTTCAATCTAAATCAACTTGTAACAAGAGTTTCCTGGAAGTCAGAGTCATTTTCTTGATTCTAGTCCAGTCACCTTTCCACATGTAACTTTCATTTTTGCAATATTCCCAAAACAAGAAACACTATTTTTGGAACAAAATGGGGCTGGACATAAAACACTATTAGTTGTCAACAGTTCAAGACACAATTTCTGGCAGGTGCCACACAGGAAATGTTTTCTGAATATAATTTGATTTCAATCTTGTGTTTCACTTTAATCTTGGTGTTTGAATTGAAGGACTGCATGCTGCTCCTTTGAGATCCAAGTTTTTAATAAAGCGCAGCAGGAATTACATGATGTGTTGGCCAAACCGAAAGTTAGCATTGTACTGGTTCCCATGACATAAAACAAATGGATTTTCTTTGCCCATAAGATCAGATGAGGTGAGATAGTACTTTATTGAAATTGTTCATTTATTGCAAAGAAATAAGCTCTGTGGAAAGCAAAGGTTAAGATAATGCCAAATGTTGTTCAGCAAGATACTATTTACTTAATATAACCAATGTTGTAATTTGTTCAAGGTAAAGCAGAAGCTCACGTCACATGATAGTGATTGACCCTTTTCCAGCCACTAGAGATCTTTTATTTGATGTCAGTTGTTAAACTCTTCCAGCTAAAACTAAGCGACAGACAAATTACTCAAAACCAAAATTGATTTGGTTGTTTTCAAGGTTGTTAAGCTAAAATAGTTCCTCAAAAGATATTGATCACCTTAATATTCCATTAGACAACATTGTTATAATAGTAATCTTGTGGTAAAGAACTGCTTTATCAGTGATAGTAACTTAAAACTTGAAAAGTGTGTAGCCTACAACATGTTTCTTTAATGGTAAGGGTCTCTCTGGTGTGTAATTCCTCACCTTTCTACGAGCTGGCTGTCTGTCTTCTGCTCCGGCTTGTTGGTGGCTGTGAGGTTCCCTACTCTCTTCTGTTGGGACACCCCAGGCTGGGGGTCACTGTCTGGTTTTTGGGGGCCCGCAGAAGAAGAACTTGTGTTGTCACTTCCTCTTCGGGCCACTAACTTCTCCTCTCCCCCTCCAAACAAAGACCCTGAACTCCGGATGTCCAGGATCTTAAAAATGTCCTCTGACAGCGTCCCGCTCTTCTCCTCCACGCTCTCCTGGATTTGGCTCCAGCGGTTCAGGGCGTCCGCCTTGGCAGCCATGCCAGTGAGCGGGCAGTTGAAGGCTGGCAGGGTCTGGGTGCGTTTTCGGGGGCTTCCCGACCAGCCGTCTGGTGGGGGGGTTCGGGGGTCCTGCTGAGGGATCAGGGGGCTGAAAGAGTCTCTGCTGGGACCCGGACTGTCAATATCCTCCTCTTCTTCTGGAGACTCAGACAGAGAAGCATCTCCCATCTGAGACAAAAGCACATGAAGATTAATGTTGGGAAAATACTGAATGTACTCTTCCAATATCAGAGTCCACATGATAACAAAGGTATCCCAACTGTAGCTGTGTACATGACAGGATGTATGATTACCTAGAAGAGCATCAGGACTGTTTTAGGCATATGATAGCTATGTGATTAACATGATGATTCAGCCTCTATGGAGATAGACATATGACAAGCATGATCATTTCTGACGTGGAGCTAATCTGAAGTAAACATTGAATACTGCTTTATATTCCTCCATCTTGTGACTGTGTAACTCCCTCTCTTGTATATCAGCATGTGAAGGACACTGTTCTGGGAACGAGTTGTACCAAATGCTCTGTATGTGATGACCACTTCCATTCTTGCAAGGATAAGATGTTGAAGCTCAAGCCGGTGACGAGTGATATTTTTCTAACAATTAATAACAGATTTATATCTACTTCTTCGTACGATGTGAAACGTTCAATATGATATGGAACGTTTTTAGTTAATATTCATGTTAGTGTTACAATATAATATATGTACTTTTTTTGCCCAGAAAGTACATTTATTTCAATGATTATCAACATTTATGCAAATTAATTGTCATACTTTTTGAACAGGTTTAAGAAATTGCCCATTAATATGTGTTTTGGCACTTGTCTTTCTTTGACAAAGGAACATTTATTTGGGACTTTCTTGAGACTTGGACAAAAATAAAATAAATATATTATTTTTTTCCACCCCTATTACCCCTTTTCGGGGGGACTACATTTATCATTTTTAAATATCATTTGCAAACAAAAAATAACTTAATCACTTTAGTCATTAGTCCGACAAAAGATGCATGGAAACGTCTTTCTACTAAAACAAATCACAAATAATTTGTTCCATTGCCGAAATACATGCCTTTATACTAAAAGCGCTTAATGTGTGGCCATGCGCTCGTACCTCTGCAGACTCCCAGCCCACGAAGCTTCGGGGCGCGTTCTTCTGGCTCTCAGCCTTCTTTGAAGGCGGGGAGGGAAGAACGTCTTTGGAGAGAGGAAACAGAGCCTCGTGCTGTCGGATCATCACCGTCATCAGCTTCTGGATCTGAGGAGTTGCTGTGAAGAAAACAAACCTGGAAAGATTATCATCAAAACGTCTTCTCTTCAGGTTTTTCTTTTATCTTTTAAATGTCAAAGCAAGATTCAGTTCCATTTTTTTCTTATTTTGTATTTGTGTACAATGCCTGATTGCTACCTAACCCCTTCATAAAAAAGAGAGTATAAGAATAAGAGTCATAGTACAGTATGTCATAACAAAATTAATTCAACAGTCAAAGTTTGTCATAAAAAAAGAACTATATTTAAAAGCCATATTATTTTGTAAAAATAATACTTTGTATAAAAAGTAATTAAAAATCATATTATACTATGTCATAAGAAGTAATTAAAACGTTGTAGTATAAAGTGGTGAAAAAGTCATTATTACAATTTAGCATTGAAAATGCGTATGTGGGGGAAAATGTGATAAAAAAAATAATTGAGGGAAACCTAATGTTTTTATGCAACTGTACATAGATAAGAAGACATAGAAACTGTATGTCAGTAGTAATTTAAGATAGTAGGAAAATGTAAATGGGTGAAGATTTACACAATACACGGGTATCTAAATGAGACAGGCCTTCTTAACCTTGTAAGGTATGTTTTTCAGTGTTATTCAACTTACTATAGAGTTGAAAAAGGAGAAGGATAGTCAGTGTGCAATATTAACACATCATATCATTGACTCATAACATTAGTTGTCACATAAAGTCTGGTTTCAGGGATTTTCCAGATGTTGAGTAATAACGACTTCACAGTCAATGAAGTATATCATATTATAAGCCTAATTGGGACCAGAATCATAGACACATGATTTCAACAC